TCCTTTTGGTGCTTCAAGCCATCCCTATATCCCCCTTTCATTTTGAAGAAATGGATTTTTCCCCTTGTCATAATAATATTCTTCATCTTCTTCTTCTTCTTCTTCTTCAGACCCGCTAGCTCCTTACCGGAAGCACTTGAAGCGTTCATTTTTTCACAGAACGTCTCCGAATTTGCCGGAGGTGTGCACGCATATCAAGCGATCGTTTGTTTCTTGCCGCAAGTCACTACGGTAGATCGTTGAGCTCTTCCTCGGTAGTCACTGGACAACGCCATTTGCTGCTAACTCAGCATCAGTGAGGTGTGCACGCATATCAAGCGATCGTTTGTTTCTTGCCGCAAGTCACTACGGTAGATCGTTGAGCTCTTCCTCGGTAGTCACTGGACAACGCCATTTGCTGCTAACTCAGCATCAGTGAGCCGCATGCGCCGAGGAGGAGGGCGTTTCCCAATGCGGTGCGCGCGCATTTGTCTCGTAAACCTGGTCCACGAACGAGACTGAGCCAGGACTGGATGCCTGCAGAGAAAATTACTCTCATCCTCCAGTGCCTTCTGTAAGTCAGTGTAAACTTTGTAAGTGGCTAGCTTGCGTTTTGCTGTTTATTTGCACGAGGAGCAACTTGGCAATCTGCGCCGTGTTACGTGTGCCTTGCCAGGCGCCTTCATTCTTTGTCCCCCAGGTTATAGCTATCATTGTAGTCTGATTTCTGAAGCCTGCCCAATGAAACCACCACCATATGTGCCACAACCTAATCGCGTCCTTGTTGGAGACACTACGCATACACCCTGCTTCATGTAAGAGCAGTCCATTAGCTTCTGCTTTCAACAGTTATCTCTACAACATACCCATGAACATCAGAGTGACTGAAAATGCAGTGTTGTCATAAGCCATTAAAAATAGTGGAAACAAGTGGAAAAATCATTTCTTCAAAATGAAGGGGATATAGGGATGGCTTGAAGCACCAAAAAGGAAGAAACAAGGGGTCATTACACACCAAATATGCACAAAGCCACATGACACCATCCCTATATCTTTGTTTTATTGTTCATAAGCAAAGTTTAATATGAGACAAAGATATAGGGATGGTGTCATGTGGCTTTGTGCATATTTGGTATATATGTAATGACCCCTTGTTTCTTCCTTTTTGGTGCTTCAAGCCATCCCTATATCCCCTTCATTTTGAAGAAATGATTTTTCCACTTGTTTTAATAGTATTGGCTAGTTTCAAGACCATAAAAGCTAACTATATCTAAATTATGCATGAGAGCTTCTCTCTTTTGGGATCACAAATTGTGCATTGATCTACTTGCACATGCCAGGTTCCCCAATTTTAATGGAGGATTCTACCTAGTGGTTTTTAAATTTTAAACTTATGGGGCAATCAATTCATTCCTTTTCTATGCTCTCCCAATAATACATACCTCATTCCTAAACTAAATTAAAAATCCTGCGAATTAAAAAAAGAGGCATTATAGGGATGGTATAAAAAGAAAGGGAGACAAGATAGGGATGGGATACATGAAGCATGGTTAATGAACAGATTTCAGGACGCTGACACCCCCAACCCCATCACACAATCCCAATAGCTATTGTTGCCTGCGTGTGCCCCTCCATTTGTACTATTGGTTACTCAGTTAGTAGCATGACTTTTTCATATTTTAAAGCTAGACTACTATTGTGTAATGTTGAATGTTCAACACTTCACCTAGGCAATATAATTATATTATAGGGATTGTGTGATGGGGTTGGGGGTGTCAGCTTGCTCAAATCTGTTCATTAACCATGCTTCATGTATTCTATCCCTATCTTGTCTCCCTTTCTTTTTTATACCATCCCTATATGCCTCCTTTTATATTCGCAGTATTTTTAATTTACTTGCCTCCACTCATTTTTATATACTACTACGTATATCTCTGTGAAATTGGGCAAGCCCCCTATAATATACTAGAGAAAAATGCCTGTTGTCGTCATGGAAATGATGTAATACACATGCGCACCAAGTTTCACCTCCATGCGTGCTACAGTTAGCAAGTTTGTGGAGTGAAGAAAGAAAACTGCCTGAGGCTATTTGTTGTTATTTACAAACATGTATTGTTGTGATTTTGATGTTGGGTATTGAATACATTATGTACACAGACTTTCGTTCACATAGCTCTTAGCTACCAATAATTGTGAGTTACACTGACGCATGTAGTATTGCCCATTATTTACAGTAAATAATGTTGTTTACAAACAAATAAGTATGACCAGTCTCTTCGGGTGACGGTTATCTACATTCGTACAAAATTTCATTACTATAATGTTTTTTAGTTTTTGAGTTACGCGAGTTCAATCTGAAGAAGAAGGAGAAGATGAACAAAACTCCCTATCATAGCCCCCATACATCTATGATGCTAGGTACCATGCCCATCCCTCAAATATATGTTAGATCCCGGTGATTTGAAATCGCGCAATTTCATTGGTCCAAACGCGGTATCTATTTTCAGTAGATCCCGCTGTCCCTGACGACGGGATCTATTGGGGAGCGAGCGTGAAGACGCGATTGGTAAGAGACTCGAGCGAGGTTTCAGCCACCAGCGGCGAGCCAGAAACGGTAAGTAGTTCCTTCTCGGCGTCTTCCTGGTCTAGACAAGATGGTATCTTGTCGCTGAACAGCTCGCCTGGTGTCGCCATATCTTCGCAAACAGTTTGTCTGGATCTAAACCGGTTAGATGCGTCGCCACGGTAACTACGCGTCAACAAACTGTCAGAATTGTGGACTCCCTAGTAGCGCCCTCGCTGCGCTCGGGACGCCGACAGCTCGGGAGCCCTCGGCACTCTACCACACGTATTCACCTCGGCTCCGCATCTAACCTATATTTGAGTGCGGAAAATTTGCTCTACGTGATTTAGAGGTCCGCTCATCGACCAATCAGATGGCGTGATTTAAAACTAAAAGGGTGATTTTCCTGAAACGACTTTGTTCGAGAGATATGCCGTGAAAATCAAAAGCACTAAAGTGCAAACCCTTGGCGAACTGGGCATGCGCGGTACCGCTAATTGATGGGTTGGGCTGTTTTATAGCATGCGTTAACTCGTTGTTTCCCCGCTAGTAGCTCGCGGAGAGTCTGACACGGGCTAGCTACAGTAGTAGATGGCATGCGGGAGTCGATACACGCCCTTTGTTGTGAATTATTGTGCCTTCAAGATACACAGAGCGAGCGGACGCGGTCGAGGTAAGCCTGTGCTAATTTGGAATTGGCTTGTTCACTTGCTTTTCACGCCATAACTTTTGAATGCAGCAGGAAATCGCCTGTTTTTAAATGAAGCCAGTGTAGCGATGAACCCGTTGGTATAGTCGCAGAAAACGTGGTAACAGACTGACAGACAGGCACACTTACATTATGTAACCCTCGCTGCGCATGTGCACGGAGTATGACATGGCATGCCATCTCGAGGGACATAGATATTCTGCGCATGCGATAACCCCTCGCGGCGCGGCGAATCACGCCGGCTACTAATGAATTTTTCTAGTGTTGAGCATAGATTCATTTACTGTAGCCGGTCAGCTAGGAAACGTAACCAACAATGTTCAAAAAATATATGATATATACAACAAAAGATACTGATGTAAAAATCACCATTATGGGTACTTCTCAAAGTCAAAAATCTTTTTTTCATTTGATGTGATACAATAGGGAGAACAAAGCTCTCCAGCCCTACTACCACGATAAGCGATGGTGGTAACAAACTCACCTGTAGTTTTATATACAACAATACAATCATGGGTTAAATCTGATACAAAAATATATTCTTTTGCAATAATGGTTGTTTAAATTCATTAATTCCATCGCCACATGAGCCAATACATCGTACGAAGTTCAGGTCGAGGTCAAAAACTTGAATTCGATGATTATTACGGTCACTTACATAAAGGGTTGTCTTCGTATATTGCTAGACCACGAGGATCATCAAACTCGTAAAACTCTCCCTTCTTCCCATCATTACCAACACATTTCTTAAATTCTCCCTGGCTACTGAACTTTTGTAGCTTGTGCTCGCTGCTGACATAAATATACTTCTCTTCTTTGTCAATTGCTACTCCAGCTGGATACTTCATACTCTCTGCCATTTCCCCACGTTCTCCAAACATTAGGGAAGTCTTTACCGAGGATGGACAGTGTCTCCACCCCATTCAGTGATTACTATTTCACCTGATTTTCTTAGAGCAATTCCATAAGGTTTTCCAAGTTAGGAATTATAGTCGTTTCTGGCTGTAAAAAATGTTTAAAAAAAGCTAGGTGACATAAGATTGCAGAGTTTTCTCAGTAATGTAAGAGGTGTGTAATTTTGTGTGCTAATGTCTATTGAATTTACTAACACACTTACAGACCGAAATCAAAACTTGCCTAAACCTGGAATTTTAGTTATGCATGCTGATGCATGTGCATGCAATCACAAAAGTGAGGCGCGGCCGCGCCAAATTGTGTGTATATATACCTGCAGCTTTTCCTTTGGTAGCTCACTGCGAAGAGCTTGTTCCATTTGACTCCTTTCAATCTCCTGGTTGTCTTTAATATCAGCTTTAGCCTCCCCCAAAAGGCGCAGCACCTCACGAATACTTGGCCTCTTAGCTGGGAGATTGTGCAAGCATTGCTGGATTAGCAGAATTAGAGGTTGATCCTCTCGGAGCTGGTCACAGGCTCTTAGTTGCACTCTAACGTATTGCATGTACTCACTGCGTCGCTGTAGTTCAGTGCGAGCTACTAGCACACCAGTCTCCTCATCAAAGTAGTTTGGCTCTTGAAGATCGCAGGGGAAGGTTTCACCGATTGTGAAAATGGTGACAACTCCAAAAGAGAAGATGTCTACACTAGGGTCATGCAGGATTCCACGGGCATTCTCCGGGGGAAAATAGACTAGCGTGCCGGGTGGCATAGTCATTCTTGATGCGGCTGTCATTAGAGGCTCTATACGAGAGAGACCCAGATCCACTAGTTTTGCTTGCAATTCCGCATTCAGGACTATGTTTTGTGCGGTCAGGTCGCGGTGGATGATGGGCGGCGACCGCCCGTGGAGATAAGCGAGACCGTCGGCAACATCGCACAGTATCGAGCACTTCATGCTCAAAGGAAAAGGATATTTAGGTCGGTCAGCAGGCGGATTCAGTAAGTCATGAAGACTGATTAGTAGTCGTTCCATGACGAGGGCGGGCAGTCGCGAGTCGGGAAAATAATAGATGCCGAAAAACTTGACGATATTTGGGTGGTCGAGGGAAGCCAAAAGTTTACATTCTTTTACAAATTGCATCGACGCTCTGTCGATAACTTTCGCTGTGAGGATCGCCGGATTCTGCAAGAAACCGTGGATCCTTTTAGCTGCGCCAATTGCAGCTTGGCCGGTTGCTTGGGGCAGGCATGCTTTCATAGTTCCTTACTCTCGTTGTAATGCTTTAAATTTTTCTTTCTTCTGTACAGTCATCCGACTATGGAATTGTTTGCCTCTAGAAGCTCATACATCTGAGCCTTTACTACAGTTAAACATCACATTACTCCATTTTCCTGTCTGTTTTATGGTGCATTTTTGTTAGCATCTGCTATATTGTGTACCGTGGATTATTATGCAGTTTTTTTTACCCTTTTATGCTTTTCAATGCCAACAATGTTAGCATTGGTCAAGGCCTAGGCGTGGCTCAATGTTACAACTACAGGCAGTTGGATCATGGATAAAGTATAGTACCATCCATTGATCCTACTGAGTGCACGGTGACAAAAGGAGTGCCATAGCTATATACAGACGCTCGTCATGCTACAGTTTTTTTATGTGCAACTAGCTAGCAAATAATTAGCCATTGCTAATATATAGCTTCAGAAAGACGCCAAGGGTTTGCACTTTAGCAATGAATCCCAAGTTACACCTCCAGAGCAGATGGTAGCTAACAAGCTATAGCAGCTGTTTGAAGACATTCACATTATCATCCGCCTGTTCCAGGTAGCTACTATGACTTCACTCAAAAAGGTGTGAGAATGAGACTAGGAAGATTGAGACAGAGTTGAATCATGATGATGATCATGACTCATGATTGTCATTTTAAAGAATTGTGTTACTCTTGTACCCACACCCCGCCCTTTGAAGAGGAAAAGTGGCTGGGGACAATATAATTATACTTGGACCGAATTAGCAGCCTTGTGATTATTAACCCTCGGCGTGCATGCGCAGCGAGGATTACTTTGTCTGTGTGTCTGTGTGTGTGTGTCGACGCTTATTCTTGCACTACAGGCCACGAGGCGGCGATGCCAGCGGCTTCATAACTACGCGAGCCTTAATAAATTACCCAGCAAAATAAACAGAAAATTATCCCGTTGTGACGACTAGGTTGGCTTGCTCCCGCTCGCCAATTAGCTAGCAATGAAGAAAATCAAGCTCATATACATAAAACTGAGTTTTAGTGCACCCTCTGTAGAATAGAAACACAAGAGTAATACAAACTAGCTGTCACTAGCACAGTTAACTGAGGGTAGCAACCAGAGCAGTCAGAATTGCCGATACTAAGACAGCAGATCCCACGGTAGTCCCCGCAGTGCCGCACTCTTCGCCTTGTAGTATGACGAACGTGTCAAATCCCTGACACTTGTAATACTCTCACAACACCTCCTCGCAGTTGCCATCGCAGAACCTTTCGTTATCGTTCGAGTTCAGTGCATTCTGACAGTTTGTCACTTGCGCGTTTAGGCACTGTTGTTGTTTCTTCTGGAGCCCGGCGTCTTCCTGGACGACAGTGCCGAGCAGTAGTAGAACGGCGACGATAAGCAGAGAGGATTTCATTCTTAAAAGCTCAAGTTTTCGTGAGACGATGAGAAAAGAGCAGTCTGGGGGTCCTTTTATATGGTGGCCTCAGAGTGCAGATAATTATGACGTGGAGGCGAGGTCGGGCCAGAGTAGATTCCGCCGGTTCTTTCCGGTGACTTAACATCCGGATTATAGACAACATCCTTTTTATACCTACAGGAGTTGTCCCCCATATTAACTCCTCCACATCCTCTGCTACATGTCACTCTGTCTCCCAACTGTCTGGTTTGGCTTCCTTTTCTTTGTACGCTAGAAAGGATGTGGTCCATAATCTGGATATTATTATAAAGGTGAAAACATCAGAGCCACTGACATTATCCTGACAGGCTGACCTGATCTCATGTGAGGAGGTGCTATAGGAGTGTCTAGGATCTGACAAAAAATTCGTCCTTCTTTAATTATATATAATATAAGCATAGGCTAGATCTCCTCTACGATTATTATCTTTAGTTCCCTTCTGGTTCCTACTCGATCAGATGACTCATAGGTTAACTGAGCTTGTTTATTAGCTCTGGCTAAATAGTGGCAGCTAATTATTTGCTCAACACCCCCTGAGTATTGTGTTCTAGGCCTTTAGTGATCATGGTAGCTACAGTGGCGTTATGCTGATCCTCTCACCCACTATCATGCTTTAAAGTGAGGAGCCCATGTTAGTTAAGGTGTGGCAATCATTTACTTCTGAGGCACGTGGTTGCAAGAGATAATGTGCGTTTAGAGTTCTATACGTGATTTATGGGAACGAGGGGTGTGGTCGAGAGACTCATACAGCACGAGGCCCAGCCGAGTGCTGTATGGGTCTCGAGACCACAACCCGAGTTCCATAAGTCACGTATAGAACGATAGGACGCACATTATGTGTTTTATTGTGACTTTGTAGCAGTCGTCGCCTTCCAGCGAGAGAAATGCGATCGACGGCATAGCATACTTCCCATGCGCACGTGCGCACTAATTCTCGAGCGAATTTCTGTTCTCGAGGCTACCGCAATTGAAAAAGGTCGTGATTGTGGCTCTTTCTCCCTCAGAAAAACTCGTTTCATAGGTCACTGGGCCGTTTGACCGGTCGGTGTGCCGCGGCCATGGTCTCGCTTGGCACAGGGAGCTGAATGAAGGGGTGTGGTCGCCTCAGCCACACCCCGCCTGTACAGCCTCTACAGAACAGTTTTTGTCTAAACTACTGTGTACGATGCTGATGAATTGAACGTTCAATATTGGCCATATTGAACGCGTACTACAGGGAAATAAATGTATGCGCGGCACCTTTGATCAGCCCACGCAAGTCACAATAAAATAGTGATACAAACTTCAAATAACTACGCTAGCTAAAGCGCTATGAGGTTTCAAAGCTGTATTAGAGAGTCGGTAGGCTCTCTATATAGGGATGACACGGGTGAAATCTCACGTGATCCGCGTAAAAAAAACGACTAATAACTCAGTGAGAATCACTCCCTAGGCCTTCAAAACATACTAGCAATAGTCTACGGGCCAATATCTACCTATACATGTCCCCCAAGACCTCATACGCACCTTCAGTCGTCCACGCGAGAATTCGCTCATACGCGATTGCACGATTTTCGTGTCATCATCATCATATTCTTCCTCTTCTTCTACTTCAGATGCCCTAGCTCCTTACCGGAAGCACTTGAAGCGTTGATTTTTTTTTCACAGAACGTCTTCGAATTTGCAGGAGGTGTGAACGCATATCAAGCGATCGTTTGCTTCTTGCCGCAATTCACTACGGTAGATCTTTCTCGGTTGTCACTGAACAACGCCATTTTCAGCATCAGTGAGCCGAGGAGGGCGTTTCCAATGCGGTGCGCACGCATTATGTCTCCTAAACCTGGTCCACGAACGAGACTAAGCCAGGACTGGATGCCTGCAGAGAAAATTTCTCTCATCCTCCAGTGCCTTCCGTAAGTCAGTGTAAACTTTGTAAATGGCTAGCTTGCGTTTTGCTGTTTATTTGCACGAGGAGCAACTTGGCAATCTGCGCCGTGTTACGTGTGCCTTGCCAGGCGCCTTCATTCTTTGTCCCCCAGGTTATAGCTATCATTGTAGTCTGATTTCTGAAGCCTGCCCAATGAAACCACCACCATTATGTGCCACAACCTAATCGCCTCCTTGTTGGAGACACTACGCATTACACCCTGCTTCAAGTAAGAGGCTTCTGCTTTCAACAGTTATCTTAACAACATACCCATGGACATCAGTGACTGAAAATGCAGTGTTGTCATAAGCCATTAAAAATAGTGGAAACAAGTGGAAAAATCATTTCTTCAAAATGAAAGGGGGATATAGGGATGACTTGAAGCACCAAAAAGGAAGAAACAAGGGGTCATTACACACCAAATATGCACAAAGCCACATGACACCATCCCTATTTATCTTTGTTTTACTGTTCATAAGCAAAGTTTAATATGAGACAAAGATATAGGGATGGTGTCATGTGGCTTTGTGCATATTTGGTGTGTAATGACCCCTTGTTTCTTCCTTTTTGGTGCTTCAAGTCATCCCTATATCCCCCTTTCATTTTGAAGAAATGATTTTTCCATTTGTATATATAAGTGTCCATATGCTGTGTTACGTTGATGTGGGAATTTTTTCCTTCTTCTGCCAATAATATGCCTCATTGGAGGTCAGCTGAATGTCTTGTGAACTCTTGACCTCTCTTGCCTCCTCATAGGTGACTGGAGGGGGGAGGGGAGAGGGAGAGGAGGAGGTGGGGCCAGACGACCTGCCCCTCACTCTCTGTATGAGGTACAGTCCCACCACTCCCAGTAAAACTCCAATAGCAATACTGCACACAATACTGCCAACAACTGCTGGTTCATTAACCCCTGAACTGCTGCCAATATCATCACAGATACATTCTATATAAGGTAAATGTAAAGTGCTTAGGCCAATATTAATAACAACATTGTGGTATCGGTGGCTGCGTCGTCGGATCGAAATAAATAAAAAATAACTAGAGAGCACTGAAGTGCAAACCCTCGGCGCATAAATTGATGGGCTGGGCCGGCTATCACTAAGTACATATTCTCGTGCTTTTTCTGTTTTCTATGCACACTTTGCTCGCTTGTTTCATTGGCTCTCGTGCTTGCTTTGCACTTTCTGTCCTGCTTTTTTCTATGCACACTTTGCTCGCTTGTTTCATTGGCTCTCGTGCTTGCTTTGCACTTTCTGCCTGCTTTTTCTATGCACACTTTGCTCGCTTGTTTCATTGGCTCTCGTGCTTGCTTTGCACTTTCTGTCCTGCTGTTTTCTATGCACACTTTGCTCGCTTGTTTCATTGGCTCTCGTGCTTGCTTTGCACTTTC